ATCCGAATCAGTGCACTTGTGCAACGTAACAAAAGTTGCTCAGGATTCGATTAAATCGACGAAGACCATTTTTGCCTTGTCCTGATTGGCGAAGGTTCTACCGGTGAGAAAGTTATCGAAGTGCTTGAAAAGAAGGTAGTCGGTTGCCGAGAGATCTAGGGGGTATGGTGGCTGAGACAGAACTTTGACGCTTATTTCGTTTCATTGGAAGAATATTTTATTCAACATTCACCATTATCTGATGTCGCTGTCATTATGTCTATCGCAACTGGAATAACTGGGCAAGAAAACGTGAATTGCTACGCATCTTTTGAGGAAGTGTTAAAACAATTGAGAAAATAAATGGCAAACATTTTGAAGAAGTGGAGTTATCAGGAAGAGACGAAAGCATTCCTTTATTGGTTTTCATGAGCAAAATAGAAGTGAATGATGATATTATTCCAATTGATCCACCACTGTTATTTCAGCGTATTTGCATGACAAAAAATTAGAAGAAGAACTTAAAAACTACGTGGCTTGTGAAGCAGTTCCTTATTCACTTGCGCTTTTTGAAGTTATTTGAAATTGAATAAAGTTATTAGAAAAAGAACTCTCAAAATATTTTGGAATACATTTGGAATACATTTGGAATCTCTAGATGAATGAATACTAGTTTGCTAATGTCAATATGATTTTTTGTTTTGGTGAAGTGGACATGGAACACTGTTAGTTTTATTAGAAAAATTAAAAATAATCTTATTAATCTTCATTATTTCTTCATTTACCTTGTCAACGTTATGAAGAAACTCATACAAAAGTGATTTATTATTTTTGCCACACCGAAAACTCTCATAATTCATTTTTAATGAAATCGTTTTTACCTACTATTATGATATTATACAACACGCCGACGTTAATGATATTCGTAGTTAATGAAGATTTACAACTTTGAATCTATCACGAATAAATTAGTTACACCAATTGAGAAGAGGTTAGTTCTTCAGGTGATTCATTTCAAATACTAATCGAGAGTATTCTATATCGGCAATAATCGAAAAGAATTCAGTATATTGAACTGGTAATTGCCTTCAATATTACTGACGTATCCACTTTGATATCTTCGGGACGTTGGCCTACACGAAACATATCCTACAAAAGGACTTCTTACATATTTTCAATCTGTCCTATACCCTAAAGAACCCTTACTCATGCTGTCCTAGCCATTATTCCAAATATCGTTCACATATTGTCGTGTCATCGGTTGATAACACTGCACAACATCATTTTTATTGCATGGAATGTTTTTTAAGGATCTAGTTGCATTTTCTACCCTGATTCCAAATCTGTACTCAGATTTTTGCTAGCAGCTACACTTTTTAAGATATGAAGGGTAGCTATTTTTATAAAAAAACATTCGTTTCCGTCATATAACAACTTATTTGAATATTTAATTAAAACGAAACTTTTTTTATGTGACTTTCTTGAATGAGTTGAAGTGTTTCTACTATTATAGATGATCCAACAGTAGTCAGCCATTATAATTTCACTCCAATAGCCTTGATAGCGCTCCTCCATGGTGCGAATATCCTGATGAAAGCGTTTTCCCTGCT